ACCAGACCACTGCTTTGACAAGGGACACCAATACATCCTTCAGATTATTTGCTTCTTAGGCTGAATATAAAAGGATAAACTTCCCAAGAACAAGATTGTACCCTCTACTCTCAACCTGCATGTCTAGGGACCTGCTGTGGGTAGAAGATAACTCCCCACCTCACTGTAGGATTGAGCCTTCTGCTGCTTTCCAGAAGTGTCCCTCTTCTTAATAGAGTTTTAAGTTACAGCAAGTCACCACTCCTCTACACTATTAATTTGGAGCATTTCCCAGGGAGGCAGGACACCAACCCAAAGCTGCAGTAAAGCCAAACCTCATAGAAATCATATGGGAAACAAGAGGTTCCACTGTGTCCAGAAATCCCTCCTTTGGGTTGCAAGGAGATCGCTTTCCACACAGGAACAGGTTCTCATGAGGCAAATGAAATAAAGCACTCTGTCCTCCCATCTTCCTCCAAAACTGCTCTACCTTTCATCTCCTTGGCCACCATTTTACACTTGTGCTCTACTGGGCTCCCTTCCAGAACGAGTCAACCAAAGGGAACCAGTACAGACAGTGCAGTGGGACATGCCTGCTCCAGTCCAGATCCCACCTCCCCCACCCCTACACACACCGCTCTGTCCCAAGGGATGGTAACCATCAGAGCTATGGAAGGGCAATGAGGATGGAGATCGCATGGGCCATGCATGTTCACTACCTCAGCAGGCATGTGCATGAGCAGGACAGCTGCGATGGGTGCTTGGGCTTGGCAGTAGCCCTCCTCTGGCCGGTACAGCGTATAAGCTTTCAGCACTCGGAACAAGTCTTGCTGCCTGTAGAGAAATAGCATGTGCCAATTTAGAGGCAGAGAGAACGGGACTGGCAGCAGCATGGGACTTGTACACAAGCTTCTGCCTTAAGACACAGACCCAAGGACGAGAGCCTGCATCATGGTCCCCAAGTGGGAAGATCAGTGGCAAATATACCATATAAGCAAAGTCATCCAGTGGCACCTAAAACAGGGAAGTCTAGTTTGTCATCATGGCTGCTGGTAACAAAGCTGGGGGCCAGAGCTCTGCCATCAGTGTTTGGGTAGATTCCAGTACTGTGCTACAGAGACTTCCTGCTGAGGTTCCCGTCTTTGAGACGGGCTGAGAGAGCTAAGCCAACAATTCCACCTGGCCAACAGGGCCTGCCCGAGCTCTCTAGCCCAGATGACATTAGTCCCCATCTCAGCACAACTGCAGTAGCACTTGGGCCTCAAACAGGCCAAATGCACCCAGGTTGCTTTGGCATGGAGAGGCCTCTGGGCACAGCAGGCTACATCTCAGGCAGGCTTCTCCAGACAATTCTGGGCCATCACACTCAAAATTCACCCATGCCAAGATGCAAACAGAACCTCTCACCAGTCTAGCGCCTGGGGTGTCATGTACCACAAGTCACAGGCATCCCGTTAGTCCCTCCTCACAAAGATGGTTTAGTCCCTGCACTGAGAACCCAGTGGGGGCAGAGTTTTCCACTTGAACAGCACCTACTAAGAGGGGCCCTAGACACAACTGCAGTCACACAATAAGGCTTTGATCTGTGCAGTGACTGCCCAGGGAGCTCCTAGTCTCATTTGTATAAAAGGCCTTCTAAGCTGCCATAATCTTCTGATGCGGAGTCCTTCAACAAGGTTAGTCACGATTAATCCAGGGACTTGAACATGGACTCCCGACCTTGCTGTTCAAGGAGAATGCCAACTCAGCAGCCGACACACTCCCTTCTCCTGGTGGGGGAGGAAGCACCTGGGTTTACTGGGAACTGGTCACAGCAGTGCCAGAGACCAAGGGTGGGCAGGGAGCATGCTGAACTCAGTACTGGAGGTGGCCAAGTCTAGCACTCTCATCCAACATGCCTGGGCCTGCTGCTGTTTGCACAGCAATGCAGCTCAGGATGTGCCAGGTTACCAGGTAAATCAGATACACCCAGAGGTGTCTCCCACTGCCACACACAATCCCTTTCTGTTCCACACTGGGCGGGAGCAGGCACTTCCTGCTGCCTGGTCCTAGCACACTGCCAGGTAACTTCCCCTCCTCCTACCTCCCATCCCAGCAAAGCCAGGCCTTTCAGAGCCAGACAGTCTGCATAAACATTTGGGTGGGAGAGCTGGCAGGAGGCAGCCAGCATGAAGCTGGAGGAGACAGGAGCTCTCCCTACCCAGTCTCTTTTCTGGGTCTACTCTTGAGGTATCCAGGACTCAGGGTGTCTCATCTGCTGGGCAGGTGCAACATGACTTAGTTGCAGGAATCAGCCACCTGGCACTATGGATGCCACAAAGACCTAACTGGGTGCCAGAGAGATTTTTCCCCACTTACCCATAGCCGCCCCGTGAGACAAACATTTCATGGAATGGAAACTGCCTATGGAGATCCCGCTCGATCACATCCAGCCACTTGGGTTCCCCGGGCAAGAGATCCAGCTCCTAGGAAGGAGAATGCAAGTGAGTGCAAGTGTTACAGCAGAGACACAGGGGAGCTCCACCACATGCTGACATCAGCAACAGCACTGGGTTCACCTCTTCAGTTGTTGCCCAGCCAGGATGTCTCCCTGCCAGCATAAGCCAGGACAGCCCACGTGCACACTGAGGACCCACAGCCCGTAGCTTGGCTCCATTGCCTCTGGTAACACCAAGAACTGCTGGATCCCTGTTCTCAAAACTGCTGAGCCCAGAGAGCCTCTGAACATGCTGTAGTCTTAGCTGAAACATCTTCTGGGATTCCACTGCCCTTAGTATTAGGCAGCCCTGGGAGATGCTGGCAGGATCCAACCCAGGCTCCCCAGCACCGTGTCATTTCTCCCCCTGTAGCCAGATTAGCCTCACTGCCTAGTTTCTCCTAGCACCACTCTCGTGGAAGGCACAAGACACTAATGGAGTGAATTCGATAAAGTAAATCGACAAGCTGGAAGAAAAGTGCTCTACAAGACTGGCTGGGGCTCTAGCAGCCTCCTCCCCCATCTATTTAAAGTGTGGCCACAGGAACCAGGGCAACAAACCTGCCTATCTACACTCAAAGTTCTGTGCTAGAGGATGGAGTCCAAGCACAAATCCAGCCTGCCACAAGCTGTCTCTTGCCTCCAAAAATAGCCATCAGGCCTGGCAGGGACAGATTAGCTCACTTCTGGTCTTTCCTAGTAGATGCCACTTATCCACACTGCAAGAGTCACACTTTGCAGACCAACAGTTAAACTACACTCGCCTGTCTTTGCTGCCAGCAACTGGTAGCTTCCGTAGCATACGCAGCTAGAAAACTACTCAGCATGGAGCAGAGATCCAGGCTGACTTGGAAGCAACTGACCCCTTGGCAAAGCTTTGCTCCTTTTCTTTCCTAAACTCCTCTGCCTGCCCTCAGCAGGGATCCATTTCAGGGATCAGTACCAGGCGTGTGTGAGTTGGCAGTGATCTGATCCGGCTTTGGATCCAGCTGCGATCCAATCCAAAGCTCAGGACCGGGTTTCCACCTCGATCCGGCTGAAGTGGGTCCGAAGCTTCGGAGTCGCCTCGGAGATCCAGCCATGGGGTATAAGGGGAAATCAATGAAATATCTATAACTTTGGGGTTTTTTTTGTCCGACGTGGATGAAATTTTCAGAGATGGCAGCCTCTGCTGACAGCATGAAACCTACCAAGTTTCAAGGCAATAGGTGTACTTCAAGCTGCAGACAAGCAAAATTTGTGCCATGGGTAACACTGTGCATGTTAAGGTGCAGCGAGGTGACAGCTGCAGGGATGGTGACCCTTGCTGTGATGCCTGCCAGGTGTTGAGGATTTCGGTGCAGGGGGGTTCTGGGGCCCTGCACCCCTACCTGCTGACAGACAAAACTAGTGTCTTGGGACAGCTGACTGCCTGCATCTCCTTAGCCTGGTTTTGTAGGTGCTAACTGATGCTCATTAAGTCATTATGTAGTAGCTAGGTCCTGTGTATTGAGCTGGTCCCCCAGTGAATCCTGATTGATTGATTGGTAACCCGCAACAGCAGCTCAGCAGTCAGGCCTGCAGTAGTGTCTCCCCTCCCTGCCCCAAGACAGAGTCAGTCCCACAGCACCCACAGCACAAGTTTTGCTGGTCTGCAGTTTGAGGGCCAGTACCCCCCAAACCCCAGCACCAATCTTCTTGAAACTTGGTAAGCTTTGTGGCCTCAGTAAGAGCTACCATCCCTGCAGTTCTCACCCCACTAAGTTGTAACACCTAGACATGACATGAGTTTTGCTTTCAAGAATTTGGGGTGCTGTTCCCCCCCAAGCCCCTACACCAAATCTTCTTGAAACTTGGGAGACTTCATCCTCTCTGCAGATGATACCACCCCTGAAAGTTTCATCCAAGTTGGACAAAAAACAATAAAACATCTATAACTGTTGTTTCCCCATTATACCCTATGGCCGGATCTCTGAGGCGGCTCCGAACTGCTTCGGGAAGCTGAATGAGGCAGCGCTTCAACCCAGATGTGCTGCTTCGGACCCCTAAGCGTCCAAAGCTTCTCCGGATCCGAAGCCTCGCACAGCCCTCCCTGGCTCCTCCGGCAACAAGGAGTCATGGCACAGAGCAGGGGGTGAGGAGAGAATGAAACAGTATACTGCAAGAGGGAGCTAAGAGGTCTTTCAGCAATGAGATACGGCCTCTGGAGATCCCCAAAACACTTGCAAACCCCTGCTCAAGGGCCAGTTAGACAGTCACAGCTATTAGTTGGTACTTGTGAAGCACTAGGGCTCTTTAGGGAGCTACCTAGTCACACTAAGCACTTCAGGGTAGTGAATATCCATCTATCTGCTGGTATAGCACATACCAAAACAGCATCCCAACACAGGACTAGGGTCAACATCATAATAAATACGGTAAAACAAAGAGCACCAGCTTCCCTACCTTCCAGCTGCCTGGAACTGAGCACACCCTGGCTGCTGCTGTTTTAGGGCAGTGGTGGCAGAGTCCCTACTTGGAGGCTATGATGGTACACAGGAATGGGTGGGGTCCATACTACTGTAGTTCAGAGGCAAGATTTCTCCCAAATGGCTGCTCTACAAGCCTCAGTTTAGGAGTTAACTTTCTGTGATAGGGATCAGGGGGAATCTGGCAAGTCCGCCAAAAGCTATAGGAAGAGGCAGCTGGCTCTCTGGTCAGGAACAGATGCTATTGTTTAGTATCTATCCCCATTGCTCCTGTCACTCTAGCCTAGCTGTAGTAGTTACCTGACCCTAGTTACATCCCTGACATCCAGTACTACAGAGTTAACCCAGAAGAAGCCTGTAACATGCAGGGGCTCCCTGACCAGTTTTGGGAGCAAGCCTTGGAAGTTCTGATGCTGTGCCAAAACAGTGCATGCATTTAGCTCCACAGGGTAGGATGGTCGTGCTGCAGGTGGGAAGGCTGTAGCCAAGCTGACTGGACTCCCAGGAAAGCCAGGCATATGAAAAGGGTGTGGAAAGTGCATTTAGCCAAAGAAGCTGGCTTGATGCAGCTATCAGCCCTGCATGCTGAGAACTGGGGCAGCAGAAAGGAGGACTCTAGCCTGCACCCAGATGTCACTGGAGGGTAGGAAAAAAAACAAACAAACAAACTCATGAGCACCCATACATGAGAAGGGCAGCATCAGACGCAGGGAAATCACTGCAGTGGAGCTCTCAAGTGAGACTGGACCCCAAGCCCCCCGCTCCAGCCACAGAGCAACCAGGGACAGCAGACCAGCTGAGCCATTCCAGTCTCCCATTGCAGGTTCAGGAGGGAAAAGAAATCCTGCCACTACATGCATGGATCCTTCAGAGGGTTGTATAGGGAGACATGGTCCCATGGGACAGAAGATAATACAGAGACAAGAGGACCTTGATGAGCCCGCTACAGGTCATGCCAGTGTGGGCTGTTGGCTGCCCAGTGCTGTTCCACCTAGACAAAACTTCACGGCATCTTGCACCTGGCACTGGCAGCAGCAGCCACAGCCAAGCAGTTCACCCAGGCTCTTCTGCCCCAGAGGGAAACAGGACAAGGGGACAGAGAAAGAAGAGGGCCTTACATCAAACTTGCCAATATTCTGCTCCAGCTTGACCTTGCTTCCTGAGAGGTACTGCCATGCCCGGCCCCGCAGAGAAGGCGGGATCCCCTTCTGACAGCGCAGCCGGATCTGAAAAGCAGAAGGGAGACAAGCAGTGAGACCTAGGGGGGCAACAGGGACAACCAGAGGTAGGAGTGGCAGTGTGACAGCAGGGGAGGAAGTGAGGTCCTCAACCCTCAGGCACCCCTGGGACTTACTAGCCCCAAACAACAGTGCCTCTGGGTGGAGTGTGGCAGCTCCACTCCAGATGTGTCACAATGGAAGTAGAGTAAACGGTTGATGCAAGAGGATTTTACAGTGCCAGCACATGATTTGGGTCAGAGGCCCCCCCAAGCTCCAAAGTCTGCAAGTCTGCACAAGCCACTGGAGTGCAGGGCTAGATTCACAGCCTGCTCTAAGCTCACGAGAACAAATCTCACTAGCCCATCCTCCCAGAGTTGGGCAGTTCCCTGCCCCAATACAAGGTTGTTCTGCCTGCCCTATGCAGCCACTACCGCTTCCCTGAGGCTAACCACTTGCAGTCTCCTGCTCCCCACACCCCAGGTCCCTCTATGCTGCTCCCACTTTCTTCCTGGAAGGTGGGAGGCAGGGATACTTCATTTGGCAGCTACAGTAAGTTGCACTTCCTGCATCCAGCACCAAGTCATGAAATGAGTGAGCAGACTACCTGGCTGATCTGCACTAGAGACTGGAAGTACAAACACCTAGCAGACTCCAGAGCTCAGATACACATGCACACCCACAACACAAGGAGACTCTTGGGAGAGAGCGCAGACTTAATCCCAGCTTCAAAATTGCTCAGGAACACCACAGCGTCAGAACCCCCAGGGCACCATGAACCTGCTCACACCAGGAAACAGATGAATATGCAGAACATCTGGTCTGCTTCCCCATTTCCTGCAAACAAACCATCGAGCCTCAAGCCCCAAAAACTTGGCTCTCAAACACCAGGGACACTTCCCTGCCCCTATGGCAGCCCACATCAAGCATTTAGAATAACTTTCATTCCCAAGTTGGCAAGTTCCTGCACATCACTAATACTTGACTAGACTGCAGGAAGCCAGACCCACAGACAGCCCCTCTGCTTTGGGGAGAGGGACTCATTCACTGGCTGCCAGCTACCTGCCCAGCTGGGTGTGGAGCTGGGACTGCACACCAAGAGCCAGACTTTCAGGATTTCTGTGCATTGTGCGTGTTCACCGTCTCAGACAACTGAGCACTTCCCAAGCCAGTGCAGCTCCAGCCCTGCTAGGCCCAGGAAGAGGCCATGTGGGGTAGCAGGACTGCAGATCAACAACTCGGTGAAGAACTAGGAATTCAGAGCACTCTGACACAGCAGAGCCGTTGAGACTTGGCAAGCGATTCCAATGGCCATGTGCCGCTTGCTACTCAAGCTCCCAAGTCTTAGCTCAGGTTGCAGCCGTGCCGGCCAGGCAGGATATTGCAGGGGTGCACAACGGAAAGTTTAAAGCCTAAGCAAGACTGAACAGGAGCTGCTGGCAGGGAGGAGGGAGGGGCAGCTGCTGCAGTTTCACATCCACGTCAGCAGCACAACAAGCAGCACTGATGTCAAGAACCACCATGCTTGTCTAGCCTGCACAACGCTGGAAGCCATGCTATGCCCTCACTGGCACCTTCTGTTCCCAGCAGGGTCACAGCATGGGCAGGAACAGAGCTGCAACCAGGCCCCCATCCCTGTTGCTTCTTAAACCCTGCTGCTTGATGGCTGAGCATTGCCTGCCAGAGGAGCAACTGAGCACACAGTGAGAACAGAGGACAGCTAGCTAGGTGGATGGCAGGGCCATCAGGGAAAGGAACAGAAATGCTCACTGCTGCTTCTCATCACTCCCTCCTTGTGGCCCAGATGCCAAGCAAGACCTCCAGATGGGGCTGCCAAGTAGGGTGGAGGGCACGCCTGATCAGGGAGGGAAGGGATAGCCTGACTCAGATACAGCTATAGGTCACCCATGCCACCATCAGCATATGGCTCAAATCACCACCCCACCTGATTCAAGCATGGAGTGGAGAAATCCAGAGTTTGTCTAGGCCAGCACCCCACCTAGCAGCAGCCAGAGGAAAGCATAGGATCAGTAGACAGTTACAGGAGGTCCTATCCCCAGAGGAAGTCCCTCCCTTTTCCAGGAAGGGCTGGGTAGGAGGCTTCTGCAGGCTAAGGGCTATAAAAACTCTGCAACAAGAGGTTCATGGTACCAAGCGCTCATGAGGATTCAGACAAGGATTGGACATTTGCATTCATGACAATGCCCACAACAGCAACACAAAAGTAGCCATGCATTGCTTCTAAGGAGGGATGCTGCCAGAATGGCTAGAGCAAGGAACATTTCCAACAAGATGCCTTTCGGTTAGGGGTAGAATCAGGGAACGAAACACCTGTCAAGGCCAGTTCTGGCAATGCATTCTTGCTTCTAGGTGACTGCAGAAATCCCAGAGCTAAGATCAGCAGCCACAAGCCATTGCACCTAGCCATTCCACAGCCTGCAATTTTGGAAGCATGTGCTCTGTTATAACGCAAGTCCAGACCAGAATAAGACTGAGTGCCCGCAAGAGGGCAGGTAATCTTAATACAACAATCTTAAATGTGGCCAGGGAACAGAGAGAGGTCTGAGCTAAGCTCACATGCTGCTCAGACATTTGGGTGGGAGAAGCAGCCATCCATGGGCTAAAAGAAAGGCAGGCTGCCCCAGCTGTACTTTCAAGACCTCAACCACGCTCAGAGGGCTTTAGTAATGCAGGAAGGTGCTGTGAGGTTTCATAAAGATAGAGTGGTTAAGACCTTGCTGTGTGCTTTCTACTGACACCAACGAGACAAAAGGTCAGGCTGACTGGTTAAGCCTAGACTCCCAGATGGCTTCTAAGCATAAGCAAGGTTCCCAGCCAGGTCTCCAAAACCCCAACCAGGTCCCTTCGTTTAGTAATGCCAGAACGAACTCCTCCGTAACTCCTGGCCTTGCAGTAAAGGAGTCTGTAGAATGAGATTGATGGCCAACCTAGGGGAGGGAGAGGAATGGCCCTGGGCCTATCCCAGGCAGCTGATGCCAGCAGAACTAGTTTGCCTCACATACAGTCCAGCTGTGCCAATCAGTGCTGCAGTGAGTTTGACACCTCTTTGTCTACCTCCTTGTGTTTAAGGAATGCCCTGGGACCTGCTACAATCCCATTAAGCCTGGGAAGGCAAAAAGGGGTAAGTATGTGCAGGATGGGATCCAAAACCATTCTCCATACAAATCACAGTTCTTACACTGCATATGCAAGGCTGCATCAGGGACTTGGGAGAACCTCAGTCCTAATCTCTCCTCGGCTACTTGTCATATGGTGCTGGGCAGCGGGAAAACTGAAGCACAGAAGTTGTAACAGGCTAGTGACAAAGAGGGTCCCTCGCAAGTGCCTGGAGATGCTCTGTGGGTTGTTTTTCAAGCACAGAGCTTGGGCCACAGGTGGGAGGGACCACTCTGGAATCCTTGGCCAGCTGTGTTCCAGTTGTTTCCTTGCTGGCTTCGACTCTGCTGGCCAAGGGGCTGAGCTCTGAGCAGTCAGCAGGAAGGCTCTGGAGGTGGGCTTTAGTCAGAATGAACTGGAGTTTGTTCCAGCCATCCAAGAATTGCAGGGGCCTTTCCACATAGCAGTCAGAGACAGGGTGGAGAAAGGAACCCAGCCCTACTGAGCCCCAGCCAGCCCCAAGCACTGAAGAATTTTATTGCTTTTCAGAGCCACGTAGCAAAGATGCCTGATGTCATAAGCCTGCAGGGAGAGGACGACTCCAGAAGCCATTCAAGGTTATGGTTTAATATTGGGTCTCACTGCACACTTTGGTTGAGGCACAACACATCCCTCCTGCGAGTCCCATGGCACCAAACTGCCCACCAAACAATCCATGTGCCCAAAGTTCTTAAGCATCCAACCCCCTTCCCCCTCCCCTACAATAACCATCCTTTTGTTTCTCCATTGAAGGAGTGGCTGCTTTTGTTTAAGGCCACCAGGCCAAGAACCCTGGCCCAAGTTTGCTGTAACACTGCGTGCCAGTTCCCACCCCCGCCCAGCCCTTCATTCTTGGAAACACGCAGCACTTCCTAATCTAGGTGCCAGGGCAGTCCCAGACCTGCTCTGCCTGAACAAAACCCCTGCATGGACCCTGAGCAGCATGAGCTTTTTCTTCTCAACAGGAAGTGCTTGTGCAGTGCTCAGGGCAACGGGCATCTCCAAAATGCTGACAGCTCCTTTGAAACCCTGCCCTCTTCAGCTGGCTCCATGGGTAGGAATAAAGAGAGGAGCTGCTGGAAGCAAGAACAGCTCTGGCCCAGCAGCTCCTTTGGCTGGTTAAGTAATGCATCTGCAGACTGACACTGAAGAGTGCAGGCTCATCCATATAACAGCTTCTGACCGGTTTTGCAGTCACATCTAAGCCTGTCCTTCACCCCCCACTTTCCAAGAGGCTGCACACAGACAGGATGGAGCAGTGCCCAGGGGCAAGCCTTGAAGGCATGCAGCTGTGCACTGCAGATGTCAGGTGCATAACTGGGTCTTCAGCAGCCTTATCAGACACCCCCAGGAAGAGCCCTAGAGAATGAACTCTGGATGCCAGCACCAGTACAGCTGATGTCCATTCTCTCCTGCTAGAGAAAATGCCTCAACCTTCCTACCTCACAGCCCAACCTCTTCCCAGGTTTTGGTCAGCCAACTTTATACCATGAGGCTCCCCTTGCCTCCTACTCAACCCATGAAATACCACCACCCCTACCCACTATTGCTCTGTAGCACCCAATATCAGCTTCCTGGCTCATTCACTTATAGCTAGAAGGCACATTACTTTTGCTTACTACCCAACCTGTGGTTATTAACATCCAGCATTCAGGTTTACAGCCTGAAACTCTGCCCTGGTGAACCACTGCAAAGATGGAGAGAAGGGGAAGCACTGTCCACAGAGATGCCCAAGTCCTCAGTGGAACCATCCTGCCAGGGGCACAACAGGAGGTGAATGGCCCAGAAAAGACAACGGGAAGCTGAAGCAAAGGGTGGCAGTGCCACAGGCATTGCTAAGCAGAGGGTCCCCGAGAGCCTGAGAAGGACACACCACTCCCTGCTTGACCTAAGAGGCCACAGCCTAGAGAGTCTTGGAAACCCTCAGAGACAAAGGAACCCACAAGGCAACGCTGATGGGCATCATAGAAGAGTCTTGACAGCAGTGACCACTTCATCCCCACCCCCAGTGTCCCCCCAACTCACTGGCAGAAGGCAGCAAGCTCAGGAGCAGAGTAGCAGGGGGCCCTGCAACAGGAATCCGGTTCTCTGTGAAGCCCTAACAGACTTGCTGCTCCCCCATGTCAACCCAACCGCCGAGGTTAGGCAGCCATGCCAACCATGCTCTGCTATTTGGAGACTGAACACCAGCACTTTGGTGCGACTCCTGTCAAGCCCAAGGTTATGCTTGTGGGGAAAAAACTATTTTCCAGTTAAATTGCGCAGCCAAGACCTGGCTCCTGCCCAAGCCCAGGGAACTATCCTGACGCATTCTGAGCACTGCACACTGAATAAGCTCCCCTGCCGAGACCCTTGCCTTACAAATCATTACCAGCTTTCTGCAATGGGACCTGGACAAATATTTGCTTTGCTACATGCTCTAGTGAGGTCGTTTAGCTGCACAAAGCCAGAAGTACTGGGCTCAGCAGCTGGCGTCACATTGTTAACTCCAACTGGTCATTTCACAGCACCCACATGGGAGTTTTAGCTCCCCTGGGTTTTTCTGTACAGATGGACAACATGCACATCAAGTAGATACCAGGATGGGGGGCTTGGCTTAGGCCCTTCACCAGCTCTGAAAGAAGTGGATTTAAAGGCCGACAGAGCTTACAATTTAGAGAAGGCAGCCGCTTCTAAAGCGAGCCTTGGACTAAAGCAATTCCTGTAGAGCCTGTCAATATTAGAGCCTCCCCCTGCCAGAGACACAGAACGTGAGAAGTCCACAGGAAGCCATGTAAGACGCAAAGCTGGGCTAGCAGACAATACAAGAGCTGAATGCTTCTTTTGGAAGTAGATTATGTGGAGATCTCCCTGAGAGCACAAAAAGTGTCCGAGTAAGACCACAATGACACTCAAGACAAAAAAAAAAAAAAAAAAA